GTTCCATGTGATCCATCGCGAAAAGCTCTTTTGCTTGGGAAAGCAGACTGTTGCCTGGTTCTTGCAGAACTCTGATCAGCATCTTCTCGTCCAAAGCATGGAACGGTACAAGAATGTGAAAACGCCCCACTAACTCCGCAACCATCCCAAATCTGTAAAAGGAACTTTGGGCAAACTAGCTGAACTGACATTCCTGTCGATTGGAAAAATAATTTATTTCCTTTAAAATTAAATCACAAACTGTAGAATAAAAAAACAAAAGAAAACTTACTTTATTAGATCTGACTGATTTGCTTGTGCTAGCAACTCATTTTTCTTACTGGCTGCAACATTTTCGTCAGTTGAAGAAAGATCTTCAGCAACGTTTCCATGCGTTGCTCCAAAACCAAGAACCCTACAATAACAAATAAGCTGATGCACAGATGGATGCATTTCCCCATGATCCTTATTACCGCTTATCAATTCTTCTAGCAACAATCTCTTCAAGATTGGGAAATGCACCGGAAGCAATGAACAGGATGTCTGTAGTATCGATGTCGATCTGAAATGTTTTTTCTGCAGTACTTAAAGATACCTCTGTTTACCATATTCCGCATAAGTTGTGGCCTCTTATAGATAATAATGATATTCTAGCTTTTACGACCGCACTTCTACCATAGTAAAGTCACATCTAAGCAAGAAGTGAGCTTTACCTTCTTGCCCATTTGACCAGGTATTTTTACCCTTGCTACCGTTCCTTCAACTAGCTTCAGTAAAGCTTGCTGGACACCTGGAATATGTTTTTTCAAAACATCCTCATTTATAGATTAACACCCCAACAATCTTCGTTACTGGTCAACTGCGCTTATACCTTTCCTCTTCATTTGAGAATTTACTATATGCTCTCCCACCTCTTCCGCTAACGTCACGGTTCCCAGTAGAGTGTACAGGATCAATCGATGAATGTATTTTGTCGAATTCATCAAGAAAGACGATGCCATGCTAAATCGAGTAATTTTTTCCGATATGATTCTTCCAGGAACACACTTTCAAAGAAGAATTTTCAAAGTGATGTTTGTTTCGGACAGAGTAGAATAGTTATTTCCATACATTCAAATTCTTTATAGTCGCTGTCCAGAAACACAACGTAATTTACATGTTTAAAAGGTCGCAACCGAAGTTTGAGTGAATTTACACAATTCAAAGCTTGCATCATCAAATGACAATATTTCTCTGATCTCAGTGGTCACAAGAAATGGTGGACGCATATTCGTAGTCATTTGTAGTCGACTCCTACCAAAATATCGCGAAAACAATGAGAGCAAAGGGGCGGCGCCCGACTTCTTGGAGTTACGAGAGCGCAAAATTTGAAAGCGGCTGTTTCTTCAGCCCAGCAGGACAGTATGCGGAAATATCCAGTTTTTTACATACTTTTCTTTTTTTAAGGTGCAACGTGTGAACAGAGTACAGCAGTTGTTGAGCTACCTATTGTTTAAGGTAAGTAGGACGATGGTCTGTCCTCTCTCGG